TCCCAAAGAAAACTGCATAGGAAGGTTGTTTTTTTTTGGTACACTTTTTAACGGGTAAAATTCATTCGACGCTCGATAGAATTTTCAAATACAAGTGAAATATTGAGGCGGTTAAGTTACATGCGTCCGACCTAGTATTTTGTATGCAATAATATTGTAAGTTAGGAAGAAAATAATACAAACTCAAAAGTACTTAATTTTATTTTCGATTTTCCTGACAATTAAAAATGTGACCTCTACATACAATTATCGTTTTTAATTATATACATCCTGTTTAATGTTCATGAAAGAAATAGCAACTCGTTAAATAATAACATAAGAGAGATAAATAAACTGTTTCTTTAATACGCAAAGAAAGTGGTCTTTTCGGCATTCAAAATGCATTGAATTTGAAGTGAATAAGTGAAAGGCAGTTAAGACTAGCTGATTAAAACGAGCGAGTGATAATTAAACAGTAAGACGGAATCATATGAAAGATTCGAAATGATTTTAAATTAATTTTCCACAAAGCGCAATTATCTCAACAATGCAATGTTTATAAGAATAAATATGCAACTTTCTTGTAATTGAGCGAATAAAATATAAATTGAAATGTACTAGCGACTTACTCAAAGATATGAAATAATCTGAAAGATTCAACATATTTATCCACTCATCACTTAGTTAAAATGTATTTGGAAAGGCCATTCTATGGTTTGTTTTGTGTATGACCTTAGGTCGCTGGTTCACACGCCGATTGATCCTCGGTGACCTCCTTTGCCACGCGCTATCGAGGGAGGGGTTACATAATTGTAAACACACGAGGTGAATGTAAAAGGCGTGTACTTAATGGCTATGAATAGTCTATGTTTAAAGTTTTGTTTTATTTTCTAACTTTATTGTTTGTTTTTATATGATAAGAAGAAAAGGTTATCTTTTTTCCCTGTTTAGTAGACTGGTTTATCCAAATTTGAAAACAAACGAAATAAAAGGGAAAGTTGTCAGTAAATAATTTGGAAATAAAGCACAAAATACTTCAAAAACCTGATTCTAAAGAATATTAGCATCTAATATAGCAAGGTTTATTATTTATAGTAAGTTTATTTTAATTACACGCATGAAGAGCTCTTGTTTACTTGCTGAATGAAAACACTTACCTGTATATGTGTTATGCTTCTAGCTCATTTAGAACACAAGACTCAAACAAAATAACATTTTCTTGAGATCAATAAGATGTTAAATAACAACTTTGATTACGGCAGCTATTTCGAAATATTTACCGTTTTTGAGTTATAAAGCAAAAACTTTAAAGGGCCCCAGATCCCTAATTTTAGGGGTCAGACCCTTTTTAATGGTCTCAAATGAAAGGCCTTAAAATTGTGCACAACTTTTATTCTACATGTTTTATCAAAATATTTTTAGTTTAGAAGATAAAAAGGAAAATATGTGTAAATTTTCGCTCTTTTTGGCGTTCTAATTTTTGACCCCTCTCTAGCGCCATTTTGAATACAGAAATTGAAAAATAAAAACCGATGTGCACAACTTCAGTGCTTCTATTATTTAAATTCGGTAGAATTTCTACTCCAGCTTCAGTAGTCTCTGAGCCTTTGTCTGGAAATGAAGCCTCCTAAATTTTCATTTAAAGGGAGATAACCCAAAAGCGGAAGTGGGTTTTTGAAATGTTTGACAGCATTCTGATAGAATTTTGTAACGTCTTTAAACCCTGCAAATTTGAGCAAAATCCGTTGAGAAATGAGCAAGATATGAGGTCTCAAAGTTGGCGTCTAGGAAAAAAAAAAAAATAATAAGAATAATCTTAACCATCAGAATCAGTAGAAGGTCTTCCGCCTGGAGCGGAAGACCTTAATAATCTTAACCATCAGAATCAGTAGAAGGTGTTCCGTTGGAACGGAAGACCTTAATAATAATCTTAACCATCAGAATCAGTAGAAGGTGTTCCGTTGGAACGGAAGACCTTAATTAAACTTACAGTGCCAAAAGAAGATTGAAAAATTATATAAGGTGATTTGTTTTATCCACATAAATATGTCTACATTAAATGATTAATGTAGCAATGTCAACTTTAGTAAGAAGTTTTTGAGTTTGTGAGATAAATCCCTAAAAAGTTTTGGATCTTATGTGGGATGAATGTCCTCTAAACAGTATGGATACAGAAAGGGTTTATGTGGAGCAGAGTGAATCAGAAACTCTTGACTTGGGAAGATGATATTTGCTGAAATAAAGAATTTTTAGGTGCATAAACAATATTATTTTTATTGGAAATAGTACATATTATTAATGTCTATTAGAATCGTGGGGGAAATGCAAAAAAATATTTTATTTTTTTCATTTGATAGATAAAATTGACTGGGGTATAATGTCCTGATTTGGGGGTATAATATGACCTGATAGTATAAAATCTTCTAATAAACCCATGCAAGTTTGCATAATTTATGTATCAAAATTTAATAACTTTTAATATATGAAAGTTATTCAATGAAATGTGGGAGAAATTATATATTTTCTATTGTTCGAAAGTGCCTTTGAAGTTTACCAAGGGTATAATATGCCCTGATTGACCTTATATTTAAATGTGTGTGAATATTGCTTGCTTGAAAAAATCAAACATTGACTGGGGATAATAAAATCAATTAATGTTTTCAGGGCTTTCAAAAAGATTAGAAACATGTGGTAGTTTTACAAAAATAGGAGGTACCTTGTAGAAGCGATTTTAATTGAATATATCAAATTTTTCTCCATTTTGGCCAGTACAGTCATGATTTCAGCTGGGTAAAAGTACTGGGAGTTCAAAATTTCCACTACATTGCAAAAAATTTGAACTCACTACTGCTACTTTTCATCTATATTTTGGGTGCTCAGCAATATCTTATCAATAAGAAGATAGGTAAATACAACTCATTACTGATACAAATCTGTGTGTGATGATACAGAATATGAGTTAATATTCAATATTATGCACTCATAATGTAGTCAAAAGGTCAAAGATCAATTAAGTATGAGTTCTGTTCAATGTAATTCATTCAGCCTCTAATGGAAATAGATTTTCAAAAACTCGAAAGTCTTAAGATGTGTAGAAAAAAAATTGGAAAAAAAAGTTTTTAGAAATAAAATGGCTAAGTATTTGAATTGAATAACAAAGTGAAAAAAAACACCCTGCTCAAAATCTTACTTCCCCTCCCCGTGGTGAGCAGGGGAAATAGGTCATATGCATGCATTAGATTAGATTAATGTACATGTACTTTATATCTGTATATGAACCCCTGTACATGCGTAAGGTGCTAGCTAACAGAGGAGGCATTGTAGGGGTAATGTATACTTATAAATGTAACAGTAATATGTACTCTTTTGTAGTGGTAATGAGTATGTAGCAAATTGACTATTTTGAACATATAGTGATAATGTAAAGCACCCAAGTACTGGGTACCGGGAGATTTTGAAAGACCTGTGTATTGTAAAGCAATATATGTTATAAAAATGTATATAAACTTATTGGTGTAATGTGAAACATGTGTGGTATTAAGTTATATACAGAACATACTTAATTAAAAGACTATGTTTGATGATGCAATACTAATGTACTCTTCTAGAGAACAGTACCTCTCAAGGATCTTATATTTATAACAGTTGATGACCTAGCTGATATCTTGATATGATGTGATACCTGCAAAAGACCTCAGATGATGTGATATTTTGGAATGGCTTGATCACTTAATATATGACCTTATATATATATATATATATATATATTTATACATTTATAAGGTGTAAAAAAAAGATATTCTAAATATTTACTTCAATTATTTACCCTTTTCACAATAAGCAAGTTAATATGCTTAAGAGAAACATTTGAGAAAAGTATATTTTTTGCATTGATTAGCACCTAGTAATTTTTAAGACATACTCAAAAGTTTCCTTATATATATATATATATATATATATATAGATATAGATATAGATATAGATATAAAAATATTTTCCACAATATTTATCAGATGTATACTTAATTAATAATTTTTTATTTCATAAAATGTTATAATTAAATTGGAAAATTTAGATCCTTTTAAGTATGTTTATTAAATAAGCAGAACATGGTTGACAGGGCGCTGCATTTCATTTCTGGAATTTTGCACTGCATTTCTGACACTTTTTATTTTCATTTCCAACATTTTTATTTATTTTCATTTCCAACATTTTTATGCACTGCCATGAATATGGTCAGGGCATATAGAGTTTGTCATGCGTACGGTGTATCTTCCGTCCTACCATCCTTCTGTCCTTGAGAAACCTATTTGATTGTGTATTTCAATTACAGTGTAACAGCAACCCAGTCTTCTTCTGAAATTGTTATCTATTTTCCATTTTATGTAATTCTGATTGGGATCAATTTAATTTCGATTGGGATTGGTCCAAATTTTAAAATAATTTCCGTAATCTTTCTCAATTTCATTTCAATTTTTTTAAAAAATATTATTGTCTAACATTCTCCCTTCCATGCTAATGCTGTGACTTGTTTCTTGAAGATTTTATCCATATGTCTAAAAAGATATTCACAAATAATGTGTTTTTTATATAAGAATTTTTTTTTAAAGATATTTTAAAAAATAACTACCTGACTTTGCTTGACATGTTTTATTAGATATTCATATTATACATTTATTAACCAAAAATTTTAAACTCTAATCTCATTTGAAAATAAAACTATTTTTACATTTTTCATAGAAGAAATCCCCCCAAAATTGTATAAAATACTTAAGAGCTAATATCAGTCTTCAGTGCCGAAACCATAGATTAAAAGAGATGTCTTAAAGATCCATGAAATAAAATTTTGGTGTGGCATTCCTCCCCAAGAACAATGTTACTTTCAGGTGAAAATTCTCAATGAATTGTTCAGTTTAGGAGGGCTTCTTGTCCGTTTCTTAGAGTTACTCCTCTTTATATAGTTACCTGCTTGCATATTCACTAAAATTGATCAAATAAATGTTTTGTCTTTTTTTTTTCAGTGGCCAACCATGGAATCGTCAAGCTTTGCTTTTGATGACCATGGTTTTCCTCTTTTAAGATGTACTTCAAAATGCACTCAACTTGTTCTGTTCTTTGGCTGGTTAAACGCCACTCCACGAGCCATACAGCGCTATGCCGATCTGTATCACAGTTCTGACTACGATTTTCTATACATTCCTGGCCATGTGGCACAATTTGTGTGGCCCGCCAACTCTTTAAAGCTAGCAAGGAGGTTGTTGGAATATGTGGAGAAACTCCCTGAGTATCAAAACATTCTATGTCATGCTATTTCAATTGGGGCATACAATTATACCAGCTGCCTTATGCTTCTTAATGACATTCCAAATCAGTACAATTCCTTCAAGGACCGTTTTCGAGGGGTAATCTTTGACAGCCTGACCCTAGGCTCTACAGAGAAGATGAAGAACGGAGTAAAACACGGACTGACACAAAATCGAGTGGTCCAGTTTCTTATCCCTCGACTATTGTCACTTTATTTTTGTTTGACATATAATCACACTCTCAAATTTTTCGAGACAGGAGTAAAACTTTTTGTTGAGTGTCCCTTGCAGATGCCAACGTTGTTTGTGTACAGTCGGGACGACCCGATGTGTGATGCCGAGAAATTGGACGCTATCATTAAAAAATGGCGGGAAGAGTTTGATTTTACTGTTTCATTTGTATGTTGGTCGAAATCTAAACACGCAATGCATATAAAAGAACATAAAAAAGATTACATGGAAGCATTCATCGACTTTATAAACTGTGTTAAACAACAATCAAATAATTTAAAATGCAAATCTAACCTTTAAAGAGTAAAAATTCTCTGCTCTTAATTTTACATTTTTAGCTCAACTGAGCCAAAGTCTCTTGTGAGCTTTTCTGATCAAATTTTATAGGTTGTCTGTCGTCGTCGTCGTAAATTTTTCACATTTACTTCTTCTTCTCCAGAACCACTGGACCAATTCCAGCCAAACTTGCCACAAAATATCCTTGTGTGAAGGGGATTCAAGTTTGTTCACACGCCTTCTTTTAAGGGTAGATATTTCAGAATTATTGAAAAATTTAATGACGTCTTTAAAATTCTTTTTCTCAAGAACCACTGGGCAAGAAAAAATGAAATTTATTTGAAAGTTTCATTTCATTGTGGTCGCCCGCGTGGCGCAGTGGTTAGAGCGTTCGCTCTAGAGTCGCGGAGTAAGGAGTTGATCCTTACGTCGCGGGTTCGAATCCCACTGTGGGACGTGGAGACCGGTCCTTCGGATGAGACCGTATAAACCGAGGTCCCGTGTCGCAGTAGGTGCTGGCACGAAAAAGATCCCTCACTGCTCAATGGCCCTAAGTGCCGAGTATAGGTCAAAATTTGTAGCTCTCCACCGGCAAATGGTGACGTCTCCATATGAGTGAAAAATTCTCGAGAGGGACGTTAAACAATAAGAAACAAACAAACAAACATTTCATTGTGTCGATTCAAATTTGTTCAAATCATGTCCCCCCGACATAGGGTGGGACCACAACAGGGGATTTAAGTTACACATAGGAATATACAGGAAATATCTTTAAAATTTCCTTATCATGTCCTGCAGAGCCAGAATTAGTCATATTAATATAGAAACATCCTCTGGTAGTGTAGATTCAAGTTTGTTCAAATCGGGGATGGGGTTATCGTAATCAGTAATCTTAATCAGCTGTATTACAGGCATGCTTTATTGTAAATGTTTTATGTTTGTAATATCCTCTCTGTACTGTTTACAGATTTTGGAAATAAACTATTGTCTATTGTGTAATCAATTACAGTTTGTGGTATGATCATGAGTAATCAGTAATTATCCTTTTTCTTTTACAAGTAATCGTAATTTAATCGATTACTCTGAAAAAGTCTTGGAATCATGATTACTTTACGATTACAATATTAAAAAGAAGTTCATAAAATCATGATCTTTGATGATGTTCAGTGGATATTTTTCAATGTGCAAATTTGTTTATAAGCAAAAATTATTATAAAAATTATAGGCCATATATAGATATATCTTCTTCCATTGCCTTAAAAATGCTTATAATAAGGTCCATTGACCAGGCAATGAGTGAATTCTCTCACTCGATCTAACTATATTCAGTTTTCACTGCAAAATTCTTTAGCAACTTAGCAATTCACCTTGTGTGGCTAGATATATATATACTGAGGAAAATTACTGCAGGGTCATATACAAGTGATTTTTTTTTTATCAAATGTATCTTTGTGATGTGTTTTCTAAAAATTACAATTTTGTTTGATTTACATTAAAAATTATGTGAATTAATTGCAATAAAACTTTGCAATGTAACATGGCAGCAAGAAAATAAAATAAAAAAAATAATTGAAAGAAGGTCCTCGTTTTAAAGGATTTGAAGCTCATATTTTCTAAAATTTTCCAAGTAATATCATGACATGTATGTTGCTAAAGCATTTCACACTAAAATATATTAAAAACATGTTAAAAGCTTCTTTTATCTGGAAATTAAAACTATCATTAAAATATTATTAAAACTAAAGATTTCGGGACGCATTTGATTGACAAATATCCTTGCACGTTCACAAAGTTAACTTTATCCATAATACTTAGGAAAAGTAGTAGAAATGCGAAAAAGCAGAACCAACTCGCCAGTATTGTCAGTCCTTGCTCACTGATGTGTGCAGACTAATCAAATTGATTGATTGTATGTTGTTTTACGTCCCATTCGAGAATTTTTCACTCATATAGAGACGTCACCATATACCGGTGAAGGGCTTCAAATTTTTACCTTTACCCGGCACTTAGACCATTGAGCAGTGAGGGATCTTTATCGTGCCAACGCCTGCCGTGACACGGGGCCTCGGTTTTTAAGGTCTCATCCGAAGGACCCGCAACTTTCACTTCAAAGTGCCGAGCGCATGGCGAAGGAACAGTTGCTACCCATTTTTTATCGACCTAGGTCAGTCGCGGCCGAGATTCGAACTCACGTCCTCCCGATCATGAAGCGAGCGCTCTACCGACTGAGCTACCGTGACTAATCAAATTGAAAAACCCAGTAAAACGTAAACACTTATAGTAACAGAGCTCGTGCCCTGTTTACAAACACAGGTGTTTGGCGTTATGTTATGAAAAATGTGGTTGTCATTGAGTTATTAGAATATTCATGCAAGTTCAAATTATTAAAATGAAGTAATTTTTGAATAAAAATAGACATTTAAAATTGTAAACAATGCAACTGTGTCGAGGCCCCTTTAGAAATAAAACAAAACATTGATAAATTGTTATTATGATTTTACTGTAGATTGATCCGGCAAGAAAAGTTTAACTGGTACTTTATCTTTGAAATTCTTTCAAAAGATTGCTACTTCTCATAAAGTTTTTGATTGATTAAGGACATATGAAAAAAATGAAGAAAAAAATCACAAAAATAACACTAAATCTGTTTATATATTAAGTAAGTAAACTGAGTAAGTTTAGCTGCATTATTTTTCAGTCAAAGTTTCTCAATAATATCCTATAAAGTGATAAAAATGTAAATATATTCAAAATATATATACCAATCCATTCATCCAATATTTTTGTCTGTATCTTGTCCTTCGATACTCAAGAAGGGTACACGTGTCAATCAAAGACTACCTTTTTTTAATCGATTTTCAATGAACGGACCACAATGCTCACCCAAGTCAGTTTTACCATGTTTTCATCAGATTTTAAAGATTTTTAGCTCACATGATGCATAGGTTCAAGCGAGTTTTTTTTTCTGATCGAATCTGTTGCCGTTGTCGTAAAATCGGAATCTGTTGCCGTTGTCGTAAACTTCTTACATTTCAACATCTCCAGGACTGGTGGACAACCAAACCTGCAACAGAGCACCCTTTGAAGGAGGGGCTTCAGTTTTGTACAACTTAAGTTCCACTCCCTCTTTCAAAAGGAAGAAAACTGAGAAATAGCTTCAAGAACCACTGGGCCAGAAAAGTTGATAATTCCTTATATGATGTTGATTCAGGTTTGTTCAAATCATGACCGACAGATGAGGGATAGGGCTGCGAAAGGAGCCAACGTTTTATATAGGAAAATCAAGGGGGTAATATTCTTAAAAATCTGCTATTCAAGAACAGCAGAGCTGCTGCTAGTCGTAATGATATGCAAGCATCCTTGTAGTGTGGATTCAATTTTGATCAAATTATTGCCCATTGGGATAGGATGGACTACAATAGGGGATCCAAGTTTTACATAGGAATAACAGTTTTCTAGAGTATGATTTCCCTCACAGCTGCCCCCCCCCCTCGGAATCTGTACTTGAGAGTGTAAATTCCCCTTGGGGGGACCTTACACCAGTGCCAAAGAGCCTTTGGTTTGACAAATATGGCAATTATCTCAATTATAAAACAATTTTCTTTGAAATGTCATTTAACGTTAATGTATATTTTACCATATCACAAACAACATTTAAATGCAGCTACATACAGGGTGTTTCAGAAAACATGCAGCCATTTACTTTCCTCACTTAATTGATATGCAAACAGAATCATACAAAAGTTCTATATAAAATTATTCTAAAAAGGCTTAAGTTTTTATTTATAACAAAATATTGAGAGAAAAAAATATCATTTGAAATAATTATGATGTCATATTTGACATCATTGAAAAACAGATGATTTCATTTTTTAAAATATGGAATTTTAGAATTAGAAGCAAATATCAGAAGTTTTGAAACTGCTTTATCAAAGCATGTCTCCAGTTCTTGTGCTGAGGTCAATGAAGATCCAGAATTCAAAGAACTTAAAAAGTTAATTTATTGTGGAAATTGTACAAAGCTGTTAAAAAATAATTTTGAAGCTAATGGAACATGTGGAAAGTTGATGATTAAAGAAAGGGAAATATTGGTTGAACAAAGAAACATGAAAAGAAACATTGAAACATGAAAACACTGAGAATGTTAAAGACGTTCCAGAGACTGGCATGAAAACCTTAGTAAAATAAATGAGCTTGTGAACGAATGTGACTTAAAAGTAAGTCAAGCGTATATTGGATGATGAAATACGATTTGAATCTTACACCTTAGAACAAATGATGGGAGGACGATTCATCTTTTTCAAATCCAAGAACATTTGGCCTCCGCACCTCCAAACTCATCTGACTAATACCCCCTTGTCTTTTATCTGTGGGGACATATTAATGAAAATAGTTTATAAAACACATTCTCAAACTACATGAGAACTCAAAATGCTCAAAAAATGAGACCAGACTCATTACGCAGAGACACTGTGCACTAGTACTGAGAAATTTTTTTGCAGTGGATAGATTTATTGATTCAGCAAAAATGACGCCATTTTGAACATATAATGTAACTAAGTGAAATTTTACACATTTTCTGTATTCTTTTGTAACTCCTTATCTATTTACCAGATTAAATTCATTTTTATATGAATGAATTTTGAAATTGTGCCTTTTAATAAAACATGTTTGTGGATGGTATTGGATGAAACACCATTAAATTGTAATCAATCAAAATGGTTGCATGTTTTCTGAAACACCCTGTAAGTTAAGTTGTGTAGTGCAGTGATTAGTGTCAGTCTCAAAAGATGAGAAAAAGCGTGTCTGTCTCTTAAAAAATTATAATCAGAATTTTTATCGCTTCGGATGGGACGTAAAACGGTACCCCATGTCAAGGATTACAACCCCCTTGGCACGCTAAAGATCCTTTCTCTGGTTTTCGAAAACGAGTAGGCTTATTGGGGGCCGCCAGAGAAACCCAAAATCTATCAAAACCATTCGTACAGTATTTAAATTCATACCGCCGAAATATGGCTGAAATATTGCCGACTCGGCGTAAAACAACAATAATCAATCAATCCAATCCCAAGATAACCTTAATTTTTTTCCTACAGGTTTCAAGATGGGAAGTTTTTATTTAATTTTTTTTGCGGATTAATTGTACATTAATCAGAAATGTGCATGGTACTTGGATTTGACTTTTTAATAATTTATGAGAAATCAGCTGTTGAGCTGAGTCATTTTTATGCAAAATATTGCATATAGGGTTCATCATCCTACAGTTTTCAAATACTTATCAGAGATGGGGGGGGGGGGGTGCAAACGGCCTCAGTTCATGCCAAAACAAAGAATATGCTAAATTTTCAAGCATCTGCTAAGAATAGTTGCTGAGAAAACCATGTCAAAAATTTATAACAGACAT